TTCCTCACATCTGTCCTGATACTGTTTTATTCTCTCTGGCTCCTATAGTACGAGAAACAGCAGAGTCATTCCCTGTTCACACTTTATCTGCAATAATCAGTTGTACAGATCTTTTTCATATACTGCACTAGTTGTCTCTCTGCAGGCTAAAAACTCCTAGTCATTCATTTACTCATTCTTCATATTTCCAAAAGCTATCACAGACTGACTGAATCCTGACGGACTTTTCCTTTGTCTGTGGTGCTTGCGACAAGACTGCCAACTTTTCGTTGTTCACCTGACATCTCCCAGGTCATCCAGGTTCAGTTCTTGGGCCCTAGCATCAGATAGCTCTTCCACTGTACCCTTGGTATTTAATTTGCTTGAACATATACAAAAAATAAATCAGAGTTAAAAATAGGAGCAAAGTTGCTAGAGTCCAGTGAAAACCAGGGCCCACAAAACCACGGGGGACTATAAACAGGGAGACTTGGTGGAGCATGTTCAGCAACTGTCTCATTGCTTTTGAAAGTGCATGAGGATATGTCATTGGATAACCCAGTCATTATTACATTCCTAATTTTACAGGAGGAAAAGGACAAAACGGGTTCAATTCTAAATAAAAACTGAATCTAATGTAAGAGAGCAGACTAGCAAAAATCACTGACAGGGAAATTATAAATGGCATTCACATCTGTGGGGCCAGGTATCTCACATTTTCTAGTATTTAAGGCAGCTACTGCAAAAAAGCACCATTACCAAACATATTAGGGCTTAAAAAGAATAGGCTTTTCAGGAGGTCTTGCAGTAGCAGTACCACTAGCATTATGCTATGATAGTATAGTGGCCAGATAATCTTGCTGGCATCGGTGAGATTTTATGAATACAGCTGTGATTTTATATATATATTTATGTAGGCATACATACTTTTCAGGACTTCTGAACCAGTGTAGCAGGTGTTATCTGAAAAATATATGAGAGATTCCTGTGGAATCAATAGCAGGGCCTTCAGAGAGTCCCTGGACAACCACTTTCCTTCAGTGACAAGGTGCTTTTCCTGCTTCCCCATCCTACCCGTTACTTTTGCACAAAGATTTGTTCCAAAGTTTGGAAAGAAAACCCACACATGTTTTTCTTAAAGTATTCTTCTCTGTGCATGCAGTTCTCACACACACCTCTGTCTATGGATATTCGAAAGAATGACAAGGCAGATCTTTAAAAATAACTGCAATCAAGGACAGTAAAAATCTCATAACACCAAGTAAAGTTTGCTTACTGGCTAGATATGCACTTCCCAGAGCTGCCAGCTCATGAAACCAAGACTTTAAAAATCTTCTAAAGTCAACTTTGACTCAGTTGCTCTGAAAGCTGTAGTGGGTCACACATTGGAAAAACAGAGCTAGGTATCTAAATTTGCAGTCATTTACACAAGCTGTTTTGAAACCCACTGCTTTGGGGGCCACAAACATTGAGTCAGGATCTGTAACTGGGTTCCCAGATAAAAACTACTTCCCTCTTGCTTGCCACATCAGCTGGGATCTCCCCATTCTGTGGTGCTCACTACCCTGCTCCAAGCAAAGCTGGAGGGACACAGTGGGGGAAAAAAAGGAGTTAAAAAAAATAATTAGTCCATGCTACAAAAATCCTGCTTTGTTCAAGGAAGGTTATCCTTCAAGTGAATTCTGTGCCAAGGAAGGTAAGAATATTCTGCAAGGAACAGATGTGAGTGAGCAAAAACCCACATATTAGCATGCTAGGTGGAGAGCTGAAGAAGAGATTCCCCATCATGTCCTTGGAGATCCTTTCTGATTCACAAGAAAGATCTTCAGTGTAAGTCATCAGCAAATTAAATGGTGCAAATAAGAAATTCTGGTTTATGGAAGACAGCCCATCTTTTATTGGCAGTTTAATGGCCTGCATCTTAGTAAAAGGGAAATTAATGTACAGGAGATCATGCAGCCCACAGTCAGAAATATATTTTTAAAAAAGCAAGGTGCTCACTTACCCATTTGTTTTAAAAGATATATGACAAATTTGCAAAATATCTGCCAAACAGAAGTCTTTAAACTACAAAGTTAAAAAAAATCACCAAAAAAGCACAGCTTATCTTGTCTGAGTAGGAACTAAATGTCTTAGGTACTACTGAAGCTAGAAGAAATGGGTACATGGCTGGGTAGACCACATTACATTATTCAGAAAGAAATAACTGAACCTTCAGACAAGGAGGAGGAAACCAGCACTATCAAAAATTGCATTAACCATTTCAGTTGTCAAAGGTGTCCTCTGACACTATCATCCCACACTCGGAGACTGATGTATTATCAGATAAAGCTACTGCACTCTGAACAGGAATTTGCTATACTGCACAGAAATCACAGCAGGGGTTACAAGTGCAGACCAGTGAAAGAGCAGTGAGTTTAAAACGGGCTACTTTTAAAAGTGGAGGACGACTGTAAATCAAACCAGATGTTAAACAAGCTGGAAAGAAAATATAAGTTACATGTTAACAATTTAATTTGATTCACAGAAGACATGGGCCATAGAGCAAAACAGCCAGGGTTACAGAAAGTAAAGGCAGCCCCAAGGG